TTTGCATACCTTGTTGGCATGCCTTAAGACTTGAAATATAGGCTTTTCTTTAAACCATAGATATTGAGAGGCAGGATGAATGTTTATCTTGAAAACTGTAACTGTAGGTCAAACCAGAGCTTAGCAATTCAGGATCCTTGAAAAAAGAGGATATAAAACTGACTACAAGCCAGTGTTTCTATAGAGGATTATGGCTACACTAACACCTGCTTTTTTTTTTTTTTCTTTTAATAATTCAGACTCTAAGAAAGACCAGATTTTCCCTCCTTATATGCCAAAGTCCTTTTCTATTGTTTTTCAATGATATTTCCGTAAATATCATTTCAGCGAGCTTAATGACACTCAGCTGATCTTTCTACAAACTGGCTTAAAAAAAACCTGTCCGTGCCTGCATCTGGTTTACTGGCTTTGTGTCCCACCTTGATGACCAAGTGAATCCACGAGCAACTGTCATTGGTCCTTGTTTCCCCAGTGATCTGGGATATGGATGGCTGACACCTCCCTACAGCCAGTTTACAGTAACAAGGGAGGGAAGGGCAACAGATGAAGGGACCCTTGATGTGCACTACTTTACAGACATTATTCCACCACTGGGGCTTCCAGGAAAGAAAATGCTGGAAGGTGGGGAAGGTGAGTGTGGATCTTGTCCTGACTAAGCTTGGGAAGAGAGGGATGCAATTAAGTCAGGGAACATGGAGCAGAGAAGATGGAGGACAGCAGGTGACAGAAAAGCAATGTGATTAAATTCTGGCTGTCTTCAAAGTGTGGAGGACTGCAACAAGCTCAAGGCTCTTGACAGTATGAAAATCCACAGTGAATTTGCTGGATGTACAGTTTCTTTAGGAAGTGGATGTTCCCACTATTTCTATGGCTGGATTACCATAGAAATGCTGATAAGAAAAGGCACCTTTCTCATGTCCAGAGATAAGAGGAAAAGGGGCTAGGAGCTTTCTGCACCAACCATTTCTCTCTAGACCTGATTTATCTCAATGTTTAAGCTATTTAAGAAAGTATAACCATAGAGTGACCACACTGTGTTCTAGTGCAATGGTACCTAATTACCAAGATTATCTGAATTATAATTTATATTTTTCATGAAAAAGATCTCCCACTGCCTGCACACAAATCCATATTCCTCTCACTTCTAAGGACTTCAAATGTAGTGTGATCAACCTGTCTTTCCTTGACAAAAAGTTATGTTTCCAGTGACCCTCTTGCAATCACCTGTTTTCAAGTACTGAAAATCTGCTGTCTTACTGAGGAAAAGACCCATCTTGGCAATGCACGAGAATTGTTTTCTGAAGGAAAGACCTAACAACCATCTGTCTAAAATCTTGCCTTCTAAGGACAATTTCCACCTCCAAACTCAAGCTTGCTGTTAATGTTTTCTCAGCGTAGGAACTAGGGTAAAATCTTTTATCTCCATCACTTGTTCCTGACTTAGGTAGAAAATTTTGAATTTCTTATGGGAATGATTCTGTGGCAGTACTGTTAATGAAATCAGCTAAAAGAGCCAAATAAAACAGGTTGGAGGAACCAGGAAGAAGTAGTTCTGGTTGGTTTTTTTTTTTTCCTTTTTAAATTGATTTTTTGACAGTCTGGATACACACCAACTGTTGAATCAGCCCAACTGAGTGTACTGATAACACCTCAGAAGTGATGACAGGGAAGGTTTTGGAACTTCTTAAACTAGGTTGGTCACCAAAAGAGTTGTAACATGGATCTACAGTTTCTTTCACACTTTCGTAATAGAGAAAGAAACTGCCTCAGACAAAAATCATGGATAAAACTGTAATTTATATTCATAGGTTTTTATAATGTCTCTGTAGATGTGTGTCAGTCACTCACTGAACCCTGTAAATCACATTTCAAAAAGCAGTTGGGCATGCAAATAAGATCTCTAAGGGGAACTAGCAGCACAGCTTACAGATGGCACTAGGTGAAGAAGGAAGAAAGATATTACTAAAGAAATCATTACTTTTTAACTGTAATATTACCCACCCCTACATATGAAGATAGTGTGATAGATTGCTGTGGCCAAGAGCTGCACAAAATGAAGAAAAAAAAACCTAAGCAAATTCAACATGCAACAATTAAAACCATGAAACTAATTAAACATTGAATACTTTCTATTTTGAGATTTAAATCCATATAGCAGTTCACATAGCAGAATGATGGCCAGAATGATGGCCAAAAGCCTGTGAAAATCTTCATGGGATTGGGCTAAACAATCACATAAAAAAAACACTAAAATGCACTTTTTTTCTTGCTAAAGGTCAGTGTTAGCAATACATATCAGTACAGAACTGCCCCTTTGCACACCCCAGGTGGAGAGGACACAGCTGCCTGTTAGCATCTGTACCTAGTAGTGTAGATTCTTCCTGATCATGTATCACAGTTCTCTCCTTCACCCACAGAACGTGCACGTTGTTTCTAACTGTGATTAACATTTCCCAGCCACCTTCATCCCTGACTTTACTCTTTACAGGCCAGTTCTCTCCTTCACCCACAGAACGTGCACGTTGTTTCTAACTGTGATTAACATTTCCCAGCCACCTTCATCCCTGACTTTACTCTGTTATTTTCAGGTAAGCCCAGACTCCAATTTGGACAGCCAAATTCTGGATGTGGCACAGCACTCCTCACCATGTACTGTAAAAGCACGAGCTTCACACAGCAATAACCCTAAAAGACCTCATTACATAGCAAGCTGCTCTCAAAAGGTCTTTTATAATGCAAAATATTTCTATTCGGTACTTTTCATCAGAATTTGATGAAACAAAGGAGAAATGCCTAACTGGGAGATGAACTCAGGTGTCTGGCTTAGAAATATACTTTGTACAAGTGCCAGAAAGTCCATGAAGTCTACTGAGGAAGAATCCCAGTAATTGTATGAGTACTTTTGTAGTGAAGCCTCAAATTAAGTAATATGGAATGGGATCTACAGTACATTCTCTCCAGCAGGTGAGAGTTAGTTATTAAGGCCTGAAATCAAGATTTAAATTGAATGACTGTAGGGAGAGGGGTGTGAGTCTGTACAGTGCTTCTCAGTGCTAAAGGAATTATAAAGAAATTATAACAGGCATATCTGAAGAGCAGGATGGGAAGGCATACCAGCAGCTATACAACATTTTTCTTAGCATTTTACTTGTATGCAGTCCCCATAAGTAAAAAAAATAAAAATAAAATAAATCATCAGATTATCTCTTGACTCAATCGCTTCATTCTCTTTCTTTGAAATTTTCTGAGGTCTTATCCTGCTACCCTTTCAATCCTTCTAAAATGCTGCTGTTATGTAGGTGTTGCACTGGGGCCAGACTTTCAAAGCTGTTTCCAACATCCCTAGTCCCACTTGTCTCTTTGTTCTCTTCCCTGCTTTTTTCAAACCACCTTCCATGTTATGTATTATTTCATTCTTCAGTTTTGCTCTCTCCCTAATGGGATGTCTTCATCCTGCATGTTTCTAAATAATTAATACTTCGGTACATGCAGCACTTTGTAATGTATTTTTCATTCTTGCACCATTCCAGGAACTTCATTAGCATAATGGTAGGATAGATGCACATTGAAGTACAAGTTGATTTAGCGCAGTGCTCTCGGTTCCTATTGTAAGGTCACAATTGGATTTCATTAGAGACTAAGAATGAAGCTGCTGGCATACACTGTCATTGTTTTCTTCTTATTTAAGCTTTTGAAAACAAAAATTAGCATTTAAAATGCAGAGAAGAGTATATTACTAAGCTCCTGTGCACCAGAGATATTCACCTAGCAGGACTCAAGGTAGGTCAAGTCCCTGAGAGATGCTGGTTTACCCTGGATTACCCTGGTATCTGCATAGGGGTTTATACCAGGCAGTGGGATTCTTTTCAGATGCAATTTTGTTGACACCGGCAGCCAACTGGTGTGTGCTTTTGCACCCCAGTGATGTGCTCAGATTGGATTCCCTCCAGCCAGAACCAGGGCTGGCAATGAATCACTACCACAGAGTGGCAGATCAATCCTAAAGCCATTCCTGAAGAAATCTCTATTCAACACATCATCACGATCTCGTATACAGAGGTGATGACACACCAGTGCTGGACCTTTCCCTGACCTCAGGAGATTTGGATTTACTTTTTTTTATTGGTTTCTTTCAGGGCACAGCTTTTTGCCTGGTAGAAATGTAATAAAAATAGCGCCCGAATAAAGATTTCTGGTTGCTAATTCAGATCACAGAATTAGGCTTTAATGTTGTTCAGTTACTTTTTCAGTGGCTTTGACTTACACCAAAGTGACTGATAAAATGACTCAACAGAGTATAAGATGACGGTGATGCTAGATCATGATCAGGTAGTAACTCTTTGACCTTTTAAAGCAAAACAGGGATGTGATTAATTTAAAGAAGTCCTCAACATGTTAGTAAATCTGGTTTTAACTTTAGAACAAACCTGTAGCAACTGAAAGGTGGCACAAGAGCAAATTCTTTCTCTCCCTTCCTGAGAAACCTCTGTAACATGTCACGTGCTTCTAGACTGCACTGGGAACCATGACCAAGCTGTAGCAGCCCCTGCAGAAAATGGCAGTGCACCAGCCAAAAAGCTGAAACCTATCACCAGTTTCTTTGCACAGGACAAGAGGTTCCAAAATGCATAGGACATTGAAAGTGTTGGCATCTCAATGATCTTCAGGTACATCCATCCACCCTGCTGATAGCTTGACAGACGCATGCTCCATCTTGCAGTGTCAGAATGAGAAGACACTGTCAAACTGTTGTCAGCTGTCAGGTACAGTGTCATTACCCACCAGGTTCTGCCACAATGCAGACTGTCATCATGACAACATCTATTGCTCTTTATTGACAGATCTGGCCCAGATTTTGCTGTTCACATGAGATAAAGCAAGCTGTTCAGCCACGTATTCAAACCATACAGAACCCTTGCTCCAAGACATAAGTTTGCATAAAGCCATAAGACTTAATCACAACATTTGATTGAGAACTCTTCTTGGTTTTTCCAAAACAGAATACCGAGTCTCGAGGATTAGGATCAATTAGACCATTGGTCTCTGCAACCACAGCACTGTCCTGAGCACATGGTGGCAATTAAAGGTCTGCCTGGTAAGATCAAAGACTGGAAGACAGGAAAGGTGAGTTTTCCTAATTCTCAAGAGACTGAACAGACTGTAGAAGAGACCAAAAGAATGCTTTGGCTGCAGAGACCAGAGGCCAGCTGCCCCTGAGCGAGGCACACAGATGACTGCTTTGTGTTGCCTGTTAGGTGGAAGCACATGGTGTGCACCCAGGGCCAGCTGCTGGCATGCACTTCACTGCTGGAAATGCATAAGGAGGATATAAAGTCCTCAGATCAGAACAGTCCTCATGAAACTGAGCACATGCCACTCCCTTCACTGCCTAGTGTATAGACAACCTCTGTGATACACCGTCAACTGTTCAATCGGTACACTATTCTTACTTTAAATATTGGATTTTTGGATTATTTTTAAACAGAAAGGACTCCACTAGATGTACCAGCTGAATTACATTCAGCAGAAGGAACACAAGTTTCATCCAGTGCAGCTTGCATGCATCCATCATCTCTAGAGCACAAAAGAGTTTATTCTTCAACTTATTTATTTAGCTAGGCAAGCCAAATGCAAAGGATTGGTAGATTTATTGTAGGATAAACTGGTATATATTACGTATATTTTGGCAATTATCTGTGGTCTACTGATTTTGCACTTTAGAACAATCCCTGACCAGTTCTCCAGTACCTGTGAGCAATCCACATTTTCAGGTTTTGAGTATTTATTTCTATGGATATACTAGAAATAAACATAATTCGCTTATTTCTAAATAGATCTCAAACTCATTTCAATGCAGTTTCTGTCAGAAAAGGGTTTAACTAAATAACAAATGCTTCCATAAGAAACCTCAGCTGTCTCTGCTTCAGAGCAGCACAGTTGATGAAAAGGCACTCTTTCATATATCCCTGTAGAAATAAAACATTAGTCCCATCTTTTCAGCACTCAATCATTATCATCTTCATCTTCACTGCTGGTGAAGTGGAAAGACCTGGAAATGGGTTCTGCTTCCTTTCTGACGGTGCAGATGAGTGATTTCATCTTATCTGAGCATCACCTATTACTTTCCCTAGCTTTGTAGCTGTCCTAAATTATTTCTTTCTATTCTGTGCCTTCACCAAAATTAGAGAAAATGAAAGGCTTTGAAGGGTCCAACTTAAAGACACTTGCACCGATGCTTATGGTTACAAAGGTTAGAAAAACAACCATGCTATCTATTGGCACTTGTGAAAAATCCTTTCTGGCAGGAAGCGACACTGAGGTTTCTTTCCCTTCATTCCCTCCTGCTCCGGCTTTGTTGTCTTTCTGACATACCTATATTAACTCTTCAGTTTGAGAGGAGGAAAAAACGTGGTTGTTTCATCAGAAGATCAAGAACAGAGTTGCAAGTGTTTTCTTATGGCTGTAACTTTTTGTACTTTAACCATAACTCCCTTGCAAAAACGTTGCAAGAACCAGAATGGTTCTTAAAAAAACCCACATAAGATAGGAGAGGGCTGCGAGAGAGAACCATTTTAGTGCTGAGACAGAAGTTACCTCCCTCAGAGATAATCCCATGCACTTCTTTTCATTTCACACACAACTCCTTCTTAGGCATTAAACTAAACCCTACATTCAAAGCTTGTATGTCCTACTTTCTTTGACTATGATTTTGGAACATTTTCTGCCTCTATCCTGTCTTTGTTAGATGGGTCTCAAGTCCGCTGAGAAAGTTGTACTAAATGGTTATTGAACAGAAAAGGTGAAAAATGCTTAATATTCTCATCATGCAGCTAGCCAGAGAAACGGGAAAAGCAAGCTGTTTTCTCTTCTCTTACACAGGAGCAAGGAGAAAAAGATCTTATCATCAAGACTGAAAGACCAAGGGCTCTTTTGTCTAAGAGGAAACCGAGAGGAAACATCACAGTGGTCTTCAAACAGAAGAAAGGCTTTGCAATGACAAAAAGAATCCTTGCTGCCATGACCTCTATGTAAGGAGAAAATGTAATTGTATCAAATTACAGAAAGTGGAAATTTAGGTTAAACGTTAGAACAGACGTTACAATAGCAAGGATAATTGAGCACTGGAGGGGACTATGAAATATCCACCAGAGAAGGTTTTAAAAAACAGGCTAGACAAGAACAGTCTGGAAAGATATGGCTACACCTGAAGCTGAGTAATGGACTAAACGGTCCCTTAAATTTCCTCTCAGTCCGAGACCTTGTGATTCCACATGGACTTATGGCCTATTCATGCCCTCCGTTATTTCCTGCAAGTAAAGCTAAACACCCAGATCTATTTAATCTCTATTCGATAATAAAACAACACATATTGCAATTTTTCCTCCTGATGAAAAACACAAGTGAGAAGCCTTGATCTGTGTTTTGCACCAGCAGGTACCAACAAGTACCTTTCCTCTTGTTGCTCACCTGCAGCGTGCTACACAGTCCACTGCATTTTTTGGCACAAAGACCTACGACCACTTTTTCCAGAATGCCTCATTTAGCTCCAAGTGGTCTATATTTGTTCCTGGCATGAAACACAAGGTAAGCGACAGAGACAGCAGCAGAATGGTCAACAATTCAGCTGTTTTATTAATAACTATACGAGTGTTTTATCTTATACATTATGCAACTGCACTTATGACTGCATAGCTTCAGTGACACCAGAAGAGAAAGGACAGCACAATGCAATGGCAAAAGAAGAAAAACAAGCAGTTCCTTGAAACATGATCAAAAGATCTTGATTTCATGGTTGGGTTGCTGTTGTCTGAAGGGATCCTTATCATACTGCACGTTACATAAGCCAGCACTGGCAGCAGAAAACAGTGGACTAAAAAAGCACTTCCCAAAGAAGTGCTTTCATACACTGAGTTTTCACAAAGAGTTCACATAAAAATTTGCAAATAGAAAAAGCATTTGGGGAGAATGCAGACACCTACGTTCACAAGAACAAGCCAGAACATCTCTGCCATTCTTGCCTTGGTTCTTGAGAACCGCAGAGCACAGCTTTTTAATGTCCTGGTGTTCATTTTCTGGCTGGAGTTGTTTGCAAGCCAGACAGTCAGCATTCAGAAGCTGTACCTCCTAAGTGCCTGGTTTGCTGGGCACACATCTGTCTGTGCACCTTGCATCACTGATGGACTGTCGAGTGGCATGAGCACATACAGAAAAGGCCCAACTGACCACTTTTGAGACTCACCACAAAATGATTATCTGTGATGGAAGAAATATCATTTTAGCCAGCTGTAAAAAGGAGCAAAGGGTATTATTGAACACGTGTGTTACTGGGAGATGGAGGGATTCAGCCACCACAGCTCAAATCTTGGTGAAAACCCTGAGCTGCCTTCCACAGACCGCTTACATCCACATGTGTTTGAGAGAAACTGCCCCCAGTAGCTGCTGTCATTTCCTTCGCAGTGATTTTACCATTTCCCAGGGATAATTAAAGGTCAAGAGCTTCTCTTGGAATTTCAGCTGCATCTCAAATACACGGCCAAGAAACACTAGTATAAATTGGCCTGTAGCTTCAAGGAATCTGAATGAGTTCCTGTAAGAAATAACCCTCCAGCGACAGAGCATCTGGAACGCCTTTGTCCTCTTACCTGCAAAGCAGCAGGAACACGGTGTGCGATTGGGCAACTGTTTTCACTGGACTGTGGCCTCCACAGCTAGAGGCACATGTCTACACAGATGAAAGGCCAAAGCCTGCGTCAATACGCTGATAGTCTCGCATGACTCTCACCTATCATGTTTATGATACGCAACTGGGTCAAGTAGAGAGTGAGTTTCTCATTGTCCAGTACGTGGTTTCCACAGAAGTTCTCAGATTCTGGCCATTTTTTTTCTGCCACAACTGTGGGGAAAAAAAAAAACAAAAAACAAACAAACCAAAAAAGCTCACTAATTTTTGTTTAAATACCACACACTTTTTTAACTTTTTGGTTTTTTTTACTTCAGATATATTCTCCAAGGATGATGTGTGCATCCCACTTTTAGCCATAATAACATCTCCGTGACATAGCACTTATTGAAAATGACAGCCTGACAGATGGCAGGGCAAACCTTTTAATCCCAGTTCTTGACAGTGTAGTAGGTTGCACATCTGATGCCAAAAAATGTTTTTCTCATCTATTCAAAGCCATGTGCTCCCTGAAGCTTCCAGACTCCTAAAACTACAATGGAGGTGTCTTGTTGTAAAAAATACCACATACCCTCAGACGGTTAATAAAATGTCTTTGGAGTGATACATATGGCGTAATATAGAACCTTAATAGCTGAAGAGACAGACAGAAAGGAAGAGGGAAGGGGTGGAAGTGGAAGAAAAAGGGGGAGAAATCGTCAAAAAGCTCCCTTCGCCCAACTGCCAGGAAACAGCAGCTGACCACTGTGAGAGGCCACAGGAGAAAAAATGTTTCATGGAACATCCTTCAGGTCACCAACTGCCAGAATTAGGAAATCAGAAAAATGACATGCACAAGCAATTTCTATAAATTATTCACTACAAAGAAAACCACACATTTTTCCCAGATAACAATAATTATGCCAAATGGAAAAAAAAAAAAACAAAAAACAATACAAAGCAAAAACCAAAGCAAAAACCAAAGCAAAAACCAGCAACAACCATTTCTCAGTTTTTCTGCTTATTTCCATATGAACAAAATGGAAAAATTCAAACTGTAGACTAGGAAATGTGGATTACAAATGATTTGACAAGCCTTTCCCTCAATCAGAATTTTACAATTACTGTCCAAATAAAGATTTCAGACTTAAATAGCACAGCATAACATTTCTTTGGGATCCTCTGCACTGGAGGGTCATCAGAGGTATTTCCAAGCTAGAGATTTGGGGTCTCCCAACTTGGAGACTTCAAGCAAGCGTCCTGCCTTTCAGAAGAACCTTGAGGACCATGTGGTGAAATATGTTAACTGTTTAGTTGCTGCTTGCCCTAAACACACTGCTTACCAGGGTGCCAGCAGCTGGGACTCAAGTGGGGAGTACCAGATGTGGAGGTAAAGGGCTGGGCAAGAGTCCCATCCACTGAAGTGAGTGACACTGATAGCTTGTTGTGTACATCCATTGCCCCACAAACCACTATTGTCACGCAGACCAGCCATCCTATGAAACAGGGGAGAGGTGAAGCTAGGAGGCACTTGAACTGGGAACTGGGGAAGGAAAGGAAACCGCTACATTTGGGCTTTGATGAGGAAACAGAAGGGTGAACTGGAAGAAGAGGAGGTCCAGCAACCTCGCTTGGGGAAATTCACAAGCTGAGGTGGGGTAGTACAAGCAGCAACAATGAAACTTGTACAGGTAAAAGGCTTAGCAAAGTAAATGCATGTGCATGACTGAAAACCTGTAAGAGTCCACCATGTAACTTAAACACTGACACAAACTTCTTTTTGGACAACTGTGCACAGAGATGACATCCAACTGTACATGATAAGTTCTCCATTGTGGAGCACAACCATTCTTCTTCTCCATATCACTTCCTCTCTCCGGTGGTTAACTCCCATAAGCCCATCTTCACTTTTCTCTTAGGGTCTCTCACCTTGTCTTTACATTTCCAGATTATGCTGCTTTTCCACAACATTAACCAACCGCATGTTCTTCTCATCTGGCTTCTGCTGCATCAGGAATGCTCCCCCTCTGTAGTTAAGTTTGCAAGCCAGCAAATTTTAATTTATTTTTTTGTGCGAATACAAGAACAGCTGTACTGCGTCAAACCATAGGTCCATCTGTCCCAGCAGAAGGTTTTATGATGGGAAAAGGAATTTAGGTGCCATTTGTTTTTGAACTGGAAGCAGCTGAAAGGACAGAGGCAACTGTCTCTTATTCTTAGTCAAAGAGCATTTGACATATCCCCAGAATTAAGAGAGAAGACCTTCATTAAGGAAGAGTGGTCATCTGTATGCCAAAAATGTCTGTGTGATTTATTCTCAGTACACTCTTACTATACATCAGTGAACTGTCTCCTTCCAACCGCTTGTGGCTTCTTGTTTGTGGATTCATGCCTTGCCTAAATTGAAATCAGCAGGAACATCTACTCCTAGACATAATCTGGCTGTGTCAGTTGCCAGCAGCAATTACAGAAACTCCTGGGGAACATTGGCTGCAGGTTACCGAAACAGATGTCAGTTGTAGCTACACAGGCATGAGACTGAATTTCAGAGTGCAGGCAGCCCCAAGTGCCACGTGTAAGTTCCAACAGCTCTGGACCCAAATCAGACCAAGAGCTAAAAATCACAATTTGCAACCATCATTCACACTCAGAGCACCCCCTTCTTTCATTTGTGGAATCACATACATATTGCAGTATTAAAATGCTTTTTTATTTCCTAGTAAAGTTTTATAACCTTACCAGAGGTATGAGAAGCAGAGAGGTGGAGATGTGGCAACAAGCAACTAGAAACACAGGCTCAATCCTATTAGAGAAGAACAGTCATTCTATGAATAAGGCAAATAAAATATTGAGATTAATCGTACCAGCAGGTAATTTTTTTTTAAATTTATTGCATTTTAAAGCACATGTTTCTGCACGTTTTGTGTGGTCATCACTAACAAATGTGCACCCTTTTTAATTTGTATCTCTGCTTCTGCAGAAGCAAAAAGAGGAAAACATTTTGAAAATGCTGAATACACTAATTGACTAATCAGTATGGGCAGGTCTACCTCATGTTAAGATCTGGCCTGGGTCTGCCCCCTCCTTGTTTTCTACTCACAATCTCAGTCGACAAGCACAGGTAAAAGCCCTGAGGTGAGAACAGGCAGAGTGAGTTTCACCACAGCTTTGTATGCAGAACCACACAGGTTCGGGTCTACAATTCCTTCAAACACTTTGCAAACCTGCAGGTCATCCCAAATCCCAGAGTATGACCTCTGCTCTCCCAAAGCACCCCAGAGAGAGAAACAGGAGGTAATATGCAGCCTGTTTTCTGCATTATCTGAGCATCCTGGGGGAGTGCTAGAGCAGCCTGAAGGAAACAGCTCCCCACAAACTCTTGTCCCACTAAACACAGTCAGCAACTGACCTGAAAATTCTGGAAGGGGTTCAGCACAAAGCACAGGCTTTCCGCTAATAAGTAAAACATTCATATCACTGATAACATGCAAATTAACTGAAATAGAGCACTGTCATCAACATTACCTAACAAAATGACAATAACCTGATGCCAACAAGCAGTGTGACAGCTCCAGAAGCCTGAAACTCGTTTTATATGGAGCTAGACAAATTACTCACTGAAAACTGTCTTTAACAGCTGTCTACATTGTTCAAAGGAAGACAGGCCCTATCCTTCCCACCAGCGGATGTCAGGCATGGTAAAGCCTCAGCAGAGGAAAACTGTGAGAGGAAGGTGGAATAGGAAGCGTGATCTTTAAGGATGGCACACTGAGCACAGAGAGGGACACTCACATAGTCTCGAGTGTAGGCATGGTAAAGCCTCAGCAGAGGAAAACTAGGAGAGGAAGGTGGAATAGGAACAACTGTGATCTTTAAGGATGGCACACTGAGCACGGAGAGGGACACTCACATAATCTCGGGTGCAAATTCTTAACCAAAATGAATATTTGAACTAAAAGGGGAAGAGGAGAGAACTCAAGTTAGCTCTAGCTAGTCAAGCTGCAGTGACATATTGTAACTCCCTGCCTGGGTGAGTCATGTGGCCATGCCCACGCCACCCTTGCATCCATCCCCACAGGGATGTCAAACTGTCTGTGGGTGCAACTCCAGGTGCTGAGAGCTCAGCAAGAAGTAGCCATCCTAAGGGTTTGCCCGTGCTTTCCTGCCTTTCCTACTTTGTCACTATATGATTTTCCTCCTTGCACTCCTAGAAGATGCAGGAGATGCTGGAGTGGCAGATCCTTTCTGCCTGCTCTGCCAACCTAAGCCAGATCCTGGAATAGTTTCAAGCTTCCCCAAGTGCCTGCTAAAAACAACATTTCGAGCCAAAGGTAACATCAACCACAAATTTATTTCCCTTCCCAAACACCACTAACCTTGAGGTGAATTAAGACATACACATTTTTTCATATTCTGTCTTTTGTGCCAGTATTATCCCACCTGTAGCACACAAATAGATTTTATAGGTTTTGAAGTAAATGGGTTGCATTCTATATATTTTTAGATCTTCAAAAAAGAATGTGTATTTGGAAAGCCTGGCTCTACAAGGACTTTGTTATAGAAATAAAGGATGCAGAATCACAGAGTCAGGGACAATTCTGGCCTCAGGTCTTTCAACTCCTCTGCCTGCTGATCACCACCCCCCTAGCTTGAGAGGTGGCAACAGAAATCAGACAAGTCAAATAAAATAATGGGCTATTTCTAGTTGGTACAATAAAAGATACCTTCTGGAGGCTTTGTCACATTCAAATATCCTCGTTCATTTCATGTATCATCACATAACCACTCAAACCAAACACACTAAGGTACCTTTAGGACATATAAACACATTTCTAAATTATAGACATTAGAAATGTCTATAATATTAGAATAGAAATGTCTATTAGAAATAAACATTTCTAAAGGAAATATTTAACTTTGTAACAATTTATGTCTCTCAAAGTTCAAAATCATACTAACAAGGTGATGAGAACGATTAGCCCTTTCCAGTGCCAGAGTCCAAGGGAAGTTTTCACTGCTCCCAGGATGGGTGGAAAGTACCCCAGCCACACAGCTGCACGACACAGCTGCATTCCCATAGCCGATCCCTAGGTCCTCATATGAAAGCAAAAACCCTGCCAAAAAAAAAAATAAATCCATCTATGCATTAAGGGAGAAAAGGGGTTTGTAATCAGGGTTTACCTAGAGATCCGCTGCTTTGTCTCTGGAACTGCACGAAGCAGGTCCATATACAATCACAAATGGTACAGCCAGCAGGGAGCAGCCACTCCCATTTGTAGAGGTTAAAAAAGAATTCTCTTGGGAAAAAAAAGATTTTTCTTAAGCCTTCTCTGTTTCTCAGTTCATTTGTGATGTACCCAGGTGGGGCAAGAACCTTTACCTTCCCTTTCAGGAAATAACGACCTAGGTAGGACCCAAGCTTCAGCAACTGCACTGCAGGACAAGCAATTTCTGAGCTCTATTTGAGTGGGCTGTTACAGCTACATGCTAAGTGGGTTCAATAAGCCTCTGGTAAAATGGCAGCACAGTAAATATAAAGTCAATCCAGATAAGCACCCATCAGTAGCTTGCTGTGCATTCTGCAGACCAGGTGCAAATACACTTCTGATCCTCAGTCAGTCCAGCCGGACTGACTGACCAACATGGCAAATAATACCAGGTTCTATATATTGAAAGAATTTTCCTGGAAAAAATCATACATTAATTCTATTTTACTGTAGTCTCTATTCTTTTTATAAATACGACTTTTTTTTCTTTTTATTGTTTTGGAAAGGATTATAAAGTTGATTATTATCGTTTCACGCCAACCATTCAGGCAAAGAAACACCACAATAAGGCTTTAAAGAACACAAGGTATTTAACACTGATAACGAACTGGTGATTTGCAACGCTGAATTCAGAGGTTAAGGCCACCCCAGAACCGCGGCAGGACTGCTGCCTAAGGGAAG